GAGGCTGAGGCAGAGGAATAGCTTGAACCAGGAGCCCAGGAGGCAGAGGTTGCAGTGAGCCAAGATTACGCCACTGCACTCCAGCCTGGGTGACAGAGCCAGACTCTGTCTCAAAAAAAAAAAAAAAAAAGAGGGTTAACCCAAGAGAGGAGTCATTGTGGAGACCAAAGCAACTCCATCTTGCATACTAATCCACCGTGTTGGCTTCTGATTAACCCCAGATCCAGGAAGGCCACTGAGATTTCCACTTTATCTACTGTTCCTTGTGCATATATTTACCATAAATCTCACACAGCCTCTGTGTTATCATCCTTCAATGTTCAACACATCGCATCAGAGTCGCCCTTTCCCTATAGAATATAAGCTCTGGGTCTGGGGGCTAATAGTGTGGGGATCCACCATCTTGTCTAGCCACCACCTGAGACACAGATGTAGCTTCTACTCGTATGTCCCTATTAAATGTTTTTCTCTGAGAAACTAGATTTGTCGGCCTCTTTCTTCCTTGGACTTTTAAGGGTAGATTTGCATAGACCCCACACACCGTGGGACAGACATGAGGCATGCTGGCCTAGGAGGACACTTTGGAAGGGAAGAGAGGGCAGAATTCCTGGCAACAGCCCCCCACACTGGGCCAGGCAGGGTCTTACCTGAAGCCAGGACGCGCAGGGTCTTGGCCACGCCCCCCCAGGGCGCACCCAGTGACACGAAGGCCCGGATATACTTGTCCTTCCAGGCCTGCGGCTGCCGCTGCAGAAAGTAGAGCGTGTACATGTTGCCCATACTGTGGGCAACCAGCACCACGGGGCCCCCATACAGCTGGTACATCTCCTCGATCATCTCGCGGAGGGCCAGGAAGTAAGGCCCGTTTTCATCTGCAGGCCAGAGCCAGGCAGGGGTCAGGCGGGAAAGGTCCTGGAGCCCGAACCACTGAGCTTTTCTCAGGCCAGACACAAGATGAGAGGGGAGGGGAGGGTGTTCACATTCAAACGGAGTGGTCTGGGTCCCCCTGCCTTCCATGAAGGGAGGAAGCCTTATATTTCTCCCCAGGGCTCAGAGGCCCAGAGGTCCCAGGGTGGGAAATGGAGGACAGGATAAGACTGACCAAGGGTGGTGGCTGTGACCACTAGACTGGATGCCAGAGGCCCAGGGACAGGGGACAGCCAAGGACAAGGGGAGAGCCCAAGACCTGTGGTGCCCATGATCACCTCGCCCCTACCTCCCGAGACTTCAGGGAGGGAACGAGACTGCCTGCTTACTTGGGGCTCGGCGCCAGTCATAGGGAGCCCCTCGGACATCCTCACCCCGTGTGTAGCCCCAGCCCACAAGGCTCTCCACCATGGTGTGGAAATAGGAACCTGTAGACAGAAATACAGAGGATAAGAAAAGATATAGCTAGTGCCGGCCACCTACACTATGCCCAGCATGGAGACTGTGAGAGTCGGCAGGTCCCTGGAAGAATGCTACAGGACTCTGTGCCGACGCTGATCAGAGACAGCTCACAGGCTGTCTGTACAAACCAGCAGAGTTCCTCCAGCTCCAGCTCAAGTCCAGCAGAACCCCCATCCCAGCTCCCGGAGGCCTTGAGTGAGGGCTACATACCCACGCTGCTTTTGCTGGGGTCCAGGAACTCCAGTGAGAAGGTCTTCCCAAAGCCAGGGACACGTACATCCACACCATCAGGAAACTGGGTGGCCCTGGATGTTTTGTTGTAAACCAGCCTGTTGTGAGAGGATATCGAGCCAGTGACCCAGAGGGGACACGGAGCTTGGTGTGTCCCAACAGTGCATCATGTCCTGAGTCATACTCCCTTCCCATGCCCAGGTTTAGTCAGATGGATAGGAGAGACCAAAAAGTAACAAAGCAGGTTGAAAAAGCACAGATGTCCTATAATCCCAGCACTTTGGGAGGCTGAGGCGGGCAGATCACCTGAGGTCAGGAGTTTGAAACCAACCTGGCCAATGTGGTGAAACCCCGTCTCTACTAAAAATACAAAAATTGTCCGGATGCAGTGGCTCAGGTCTGTTAATCCCAGCACTTTGGGAGGCTGAGGCTGGCAGGTCACCTGAGGTCAGGAGTTTGAGACCAGCCTGACCAACATGGCGAAACCCCGTCTCTACTAAAGATACAAAATTAGCCAGGTGTGGTGGCAGGCTACTGTAATCCCAGCTGCTCAGGAGGCTGAGGCAGGACAATCGCTTGAACCCAGGAGGCAGAGGTTGCAGTGAGCCAAGATCACGCCATTGCACTCGAGCCTGGGCGACAGAGCAAGACTCCGTCTCAAAAAAAAAAAAAGCACAGATCAGAGTAATTACATTCAAACAAGAACCTCACCAACACATACTTACTCCAAACACTGACCCCAGGACCCCTGTCAAAGCAACGTTCCCCTCTCCCCCGTGACTCTACCCTAGAATGAGGGTCTTGGACCTGGTTGGGAGAAGGAGGCAGCAGTCCTGGTTCTGCTGTGAACTTCACACTGGACCCCAAGAGGCAGTCCACCCTCTTTCAGCTTCCCATCGCTTCATCTCCTTGCATCCAGCTCCTGCCACCCAACATATCCCAAGCAAAGGAGATGGTGAGTGCAGTACACAACAGAACCAGACAAGGGCCGGGTGCAGTGGCTGACACCTGTAGTTCCAACACTTTGCAAGGCCAAGGTGGGAGGAATGCTTGAGGCCAGGAGTTCAAGGCCAGCCTGGGCAATATAGTGAGGCCTTGTTGCTACTAAAAATAAAAAATTAGCCAGGCATGGTGGTGCAGGCCTGTGGTCCCAGCTACTTGGAAGGCTGAGGCAGGAGGATGACTTGCACCTGGGATACTGAGGCTGCAGTGAGCCATGATCATGCCACTACACACCAGTCTGGGCAGGAAAGTAAGACCCTGTCTCATAAAAACAAAAACAGGCCGGGCGCGGTGGCTCAAGCCTGTAATCCCAGCACTTTGGGAGGCCGAGACGGGCGGGATCACGAAGTGGTCAGGAGATCGAGGACCATCCTGGCTAACACAGGTGGAAAAACCCCGTCTTTACCTAAAAAAATACAAAAAAAAAACTAGCCGGGCGATGGCGGTGCGCCCCTGTAGTCCCAGCCTTCCGGGATGGCTGAGGCCGGAGAATGGGCTGGTGAACCCCAGGAGGCGGAGCTTGCAGTGAGCTGAGGGATCCGGCGCCACGGGCACTCCCAACCTGGGGCCGGGGCAGAGCGGAGACTCCGCCTAGGGGTTGCCAGTGTTGGCTTCCGATGCCCTTATGATCTCGGGCATTTTCAGGGCGGAGCCGAGAGGGCAGGTAGATCATCTTGAGGTCAGGAGTTCGAGAAACCCAGCCTGGGTCACATGGTGAAAACCCATCTCTCATTAAAAACACGAAAAAATTTAAACCAGGTGTGGTGTGACGGTAGAACCTTGTCTATCCCAGTTACTCGGAAGGGGAGCTGAGGCTGGGAGAGAATTTTGCTTGGACGAGCCTGGGAGGCCAGAAGGGGTGAGTTGGAGCCGATGATCGTGCCACTGCACTCCAGGGCCTTGGGCCAATGAATAAGATGGCGGAAACTCGCGATTTTCTCTAAAAAAAAAAAACAATAATAAAAAGATACCCTAGAAATGGGCAACCATGCGCCGTCAGGCTTTGGCTATGTTGTGGTAGGCAGGAAGACGCAAGGCCAGAGAAATGATGGGAAGCTGGTGGGAGAGGACAGGGGAAGGCCTTGTGTGGCCCCAGGTAGGTATAATTGGGTCCCACTTCCTCTGGGCATTGGACACAGCAGCCAGTCAACCTCCAAACACATCCTCCATGGAGGAAGGGAATGAACCACGCTCCTATGACCCCCTGGCACCCCAGGGCTGTATCACCTGTCAGACTGCAACCACAAGGCCCAGGGCTTGCCCAGCAAATTCCTAAGCGCCATGACATAGGACATGGACCACCAGCTACTGACTTGAGATCCCTAACAGCCCTTTCTTAGTTTTCTTTCTTCTTCTTTTTTGAGACAGGGTCTCACTCTGTCCAGGTTGCAGTGCAGTGAGGGCATCATAGCTCACTGTAGCCATAACCTCCTGGGCTCAAGTGATCCTCTTACCTCATCCTCCTGAATAGGTAGGCAGGCACCACCGTGCCTGGCTTATTTATTTATTTATTTATTTGTTTATTTATTTTGTAGGGATAGGGCCACACTATGCTGCTCATGCTGGTCTCAAACTCCTGGGCTCAAGTGATCCTCTTACCTCATCCTCCTGAATAGGTAGGCAGGCACCACCGTGCCTGGCTTATTTATTTATTTATTTATTTGTTTATTTATTTTGTAGGGATAGGGCCACACTATGCTGCTCATGCTGGTCTCAAACTCCTGGGCTCAAGTGATCCTCTTACCTCATCCTCCTGAATAGGTAGGCAGGCACCACCGTGCCTGGCTTATTTATTTATTTATTTATTTGTTTATTTATTTTGTAGGGATAGGGCCACACTATGCTGCTCATGCTGGTCTCAAACTCCTGGGCTCAAGTGATCCTCTTACCTCATCCTCCTGAATAGGTAGGCAGGCACCACCGTGCCTGGCTTATTTATTTATTTATTTATTTGTTTATTTATTTTGTAGGGATAGGGCCACACTATGCTGCTCATGCTGGTCTCAAACTCCTGGGCTCAAGTGATCCTCTTACCTCATCCTCCTGAATAGGTAGGCAGGCACCACCGTGCCTGGCTTATTTATTTATTTATTTATTTGTTTATTTATTTTGTAGGGATAGGGCCACACTATGCTGCTCATGCTGGTCTCAAACTCCTGGGCTCAAGTGATCCTCTTACCTCATCCTCCTGAATAGGTAGGCAGGCACCACCGTGCCTGGCTTATTTATTTATTTATTTATTTGTTTATTTATTTTGTAGGGATAGGGCCACACTATGCTGCTCATGCTGGTCTCAAACTCCTGGGCTCAAGTGATCCTCTTACCTCATCCTCCTGAATAGGTAGGCAGGCACCACCGTGCCTGGCTTATTTATTTATTTATTTATTTGTTTATTTATTTTGTAGGGATAGGGCCACACTATGCTGCTCATGCTGGTCTCAAACTCCTGGGCTCAAGTGATCCTCTTACCTCATCCTCCTGAATAGGTAGGCAGGCACCACCGTGCCTGGCTTATTTATTTATTTATTTATTTGTTTATTTATTTTGTAGGGATAGGGCCACACTATGCTGCTCATGCTGGTCTCAAACTCCTGGGCTCAAGTGATCCTCTTACCTCATCCTCCTGAATAGGTAGGCAGGCACCACCGTGCCTGGCTTATTTATTTATTTATTTATTTGTTTATTTATTTTGTAGGGATAGGGCCACACTATGCTGCTCATGCTGGTCTCAAACTCCTGGGCTCAAGTGATCCTCTTACCTCATCCTCCTGAATAGGTAGGCAGGCACCACCGTGCCTGGCTTATTTATTTATTTATTTATTTGTTTATTTATTTTGTAGGGATAGGGCCACACTATGCTGCTCATGCTGGTCTCAAACTCCTGGGCTCAAGTGATCCTCTTACCTCATCCTCCTGAATAGGTAGGCAGGCACCACCGTGCCTGGCTTATTTATTTATTTATTTATTTGTTTATTTATTTTGTAGGGATAGGGCCACACTATGCTGCTCATGCTGGTCTCAAACTCCTGGGCTCAAGTGATCCTCTTACCTCATCCTCCTGAATAGGTAGGCAGGCACCACCGTGCCTGGCTTATTTATTTATTTATTTATTTGTTTATTTATTTTGTAGGGATAGGGCCACACTATGCTGCTCATGCTGGTCTCAAACTCCTGGGCTCAAGTGATCCTCTTACCTCATCCTCCTGAATAGGTAGGCAGGCACCACCGTGCCTGGCTTATTTATTTATTTATTTATTTGTTTATTTATTTTGTAGGGATAGGGCCACACTATGCTGCTCATGCTGGTCTCAAACTCCTGGGCTCAAGTGATCCTCTTACCTCATCCTCCTGAATAGGTAGGCAGGCACCACCGTGCCTGGCTTATTTATTTATTTATTTATTTGTTTATTTATTTTGTAGGGATAGGGCCACACTATGCTGCTCATGCTGGTCTCAAACTCCTGGGCTCAAGTGATCCTCTTACCTCATCCTCCTGAATAGGTAGGCAGGCACCACCGTGCCTGGCTTATTTATTTATTTATTTATTTGTTTATTTATTTTGTAGGGATAGGGCCACACTATGCTGCTCATGCTGGTCTCAAACTCCTGGGCTCAAGTGATCCTCTTACCTCATCCTCCTGAATAGGTAGGCAGGCACCACCGTGCCTGGCTTATTTATTTATTTATTTATTTGTTTATTTATTTTGTAGGGATAGGGCCACACTATGCTGCTCATGCTGGTCTCAAACTCCTGGGCTCAAGTGATCCTCTTACCTCATCCTCCTGAATAGGTAGGCAGGCACCACCGTGCCTGGCTTATTTATTTATTTATTTATTTGTTTATTTATTTTGTAGGGATAGGGCCACACTATGCTGCTCATGCTGGTCTCAAACTCCTGGGCTCAAGTGATCCTCTTACCTCATCCTCCTGAATAGGTAGGCAGGCACCACCGTGCCTGGCTTATTTATTTATTTATTTATTTGTTTATTTATTTTGTAGGGATAGGGCCACACTATGCTGCTCATGCTGGTCTCAAACTCCTGGGCTCAAGTGATCCTCTTACCTCATCCTCCTGAATAGGTAGGCAGGCACCAC